CGAAATTCCTATTTAAATGACTAGATTTTGTCAGCGCAAGAACAAGCAAGAACACTAAACAACGGTAATTATGACTGATTCCTGAACAAATGACTCTTATCAGCTGGTTATTTTTAGTGAATCATAATCATACAGCGGCAATAATGATTCAAATAAATTACTCTTACAGTTCTTGTCAGCGAACCAAAAATATACAACACCAAGTGTAGTCTGATTCCAAAATAAGCAACTATTATGAACTGGTTCTTTTCAGTCAATCGGAAACACTTAAAAGAGAGTAACTTTCTAAAACAAGTTATCAGTCAAGCTCGACTCAAAATGGAATCAGAATAGTTAAGAGGAGTCAGACTCTACAAAAATTGCCTTGAACTATTCAAATGCACTTACTTTCCAATGCACGTCCTGTTAAACATTAATAAACGGGAGTACATGATGTAAAGCACTGAGACACATGAGATTAACCTTTTGTAGAGATGGACAGCAGAGTTAGAGGTGGAGAGGGAGCTAAAGAGAAGCTGATGTGATCGGCACACTCTCATGAAGTGCTCATGTTCAGCGGCAAGGTCAAGAACCACTACAGCCCCATCGAGAGCTCTCTAAAATAAGAGTGTGAGGGATTCATACAACTACACTGATGGTAAATAACACTGATACTCAGCCATAACGTAACTTGCAGAGAGTGTGCAATTTTTTACATTTGTTTTCCCTTTGTTGATGTTCACAAACAAGGCCTTCCTCGCGTCTGTTCTTCTACTTCACTCATTGCCCAAAGCCGAGTACAGAGAATGCAAGAAGATCTCTGAAGGGATGGGATAGTGATAGTTTCATGTAAAATTCATGTCGCGCTCTGCATTATGATGTGACCTTTGGAGTTTTCCAGTTACGCTGCATTTTAATTCCCATGCTGCGGTTCAAAGTTCAGGACTGAAGCGATTGTCATTAGCATACCTCTCGTCGTGTGTACTTTATGACGACTAGATGCTCAGGAGAGTTTGAGAGCCAGAAGGATGACGCATTGTCCACGATGCTCAAGACAAATGCATCTGCCTTGTGGTGAGGTGAGATGAGAAAAAAGACAAAATCTAGGAAAATCTGACTTGGGGCAAAACCCAGATACAGGATTAATTTTCTTTCCCCTTCAGAAAGGGGAATTTGCATCTGATTGAGAAAATACTGTCGTCGTTTTTAGAATATGTTTCAAAGCAACGTCTCAGAGAAGGAAAATCTAAAGATTTTATAAGCTGAGCCGAAAGCTCAGGCAGCGTCACCCCGTGTCTGAGTGTTACAGGCATAGCACATGTTGCTATGGCCCACACAAACAATCACATTACAGCATGATCTCTCAGGTGGCTGCTTATGAGATCAAAAACAAAGTTTGGGAGAAAGGGTCTGGGAGTCAAAGGAAGTCATCAAACCATTGCAAAATGAGACCACATAAATCATCCAAGGTAGAATACTGTTCAAAGGGGTGGGGAAGAATTTTTTTATGTTTTTGAACGAAGCCTCTTATGTTCACCAAGAATACATTTATTTAAATGGGTCTTATGACGTTGCTAAAAATAACATTATTTTGTGTATTTGGTGTAATGCAATGTTTACGCGGTTTAAGGTAAAAAAAAAATATATATATATATTTTCCACATACTGTACATTATTGTTGCTCCTCTATGCTCCGCCTTTCTGAAACGCATAGCAAAAAGCTCATCGGTCTGAAAAGCGCGGTGTGCTCTGATTGGCCAGCTATCTAGTGCGTTGTGATTGGCTGAATTCCTCAAGCGTGTGACGGAAATTTTACGCCCCTTACCAGGTTCAGGAATCTTTCCTCCGTAAAATGCACTGCACGCACTCAAATATTTGGGTTGTACTGTTCTGGAACGGTGTAGTAAATAAAAATTAACCACTGATTTCTAGTTGTGTCCAAGAAGGCCAAACAAAGTAGTTTGGCTTTTGCAACGAAACACACAGCGTCTTCACGACATGGCGGCAGCAACAATACTACAGCGAGAATAAAAGTTCCGCCTTCTTTCTTCGCGTGAACATTTGGGCGGCATTATGCAAATCTTCCCACACAGTGGCATAGATATGTGGGGGCGTGTTTGAACGAGGCGTTTTAGGAGGGCGTGGCTGAGCGTTCACTTTTAGAAAGAATCTCTTTGGGTTTGAGACTTTAATCTTTGCGACTTTACGGATCTTCTGTATGCATGAACAGCTTTTAACACTCCAAAGACAAAGGAAAACATGAAATCGCATCATATGACCCCTTTAATGAAAAATACAGTCAATCTTATGAAATCTATAATATAAAATAAGAGTTTTCTATTTTAATATATTTTTAAATTTAATTTATTCCTGTGATGTCAAAACTAAATTTTCAGCAGCCATTACACCAGTCGTCAGTGTCACATGATCCTTCAGAAATCATCCTAATATGCTGATTTGTTGCTCAAGAACCACTATGATCAAAATTGAAAACTGTTGTACTGCTTAAAATATTTGTGGAAACAGCGATACTTTTTTCAGGATTCCTTGATGAATAGAAAGTTAAAAAAAAAGCATTTATTTGAAATATAATTTTTTTTATTTCTAGTCGTGTCCTCTTTTGGGAGGCCAAACAAAGTATTTTCGCTTTCACAACGAAACACACCGCGTCTCCTCAACATGGCAGCAGCGGCAACAATACTACAGCGAGAATCAAAGTTACTCCTTTCTTTCTTTGCATGAACATTTGGGCGGTGTTATGCAAATCTTCCCATACAGTGACGGAGACATGTGGGGGTGTGTTTAAACGAGGCGTTTTAGGAGGGCGTGGACCAGTCTTAACTGTTATAAAGAATATCTCTTTGGGTTTGAAACTTTAGTCTTAGCAACTTTAGGGATCTTATCTATTCATGAACAGCTTTTAACACTCCAAAGACAAAGGAAAACATGAAATCGCATCATATGACCCCTTTAATGAAAAATACAGTCAATCTTATGAAATCTATAATATAAAATAAGAGTTTTCTATTTTAATATATTTTTAAATTTAATTTATTCCTGTGATGTCAAAACTAAATTTTCAGCAGCCATTACACCAGTCGTCAGTGTCACATGATCCTTCAGAAATCATCCTAATATGCTGATTTGTTGCTCAAGAACCACTATGATCAAAATTGAAAACTGTTGTACTGCTTAAAATATTTGTGGAAACAGCGATACTTTTTTCAGGATTCCTTGATGAATAGAAAGTTAAAAAAAAAGCATTTATTTGAAATATAATTTTTTGTAACAATGATAAAGTCTTCACTGTCGCTTTTGATCAATTTAAAGCATCAATCTCTGTAAAAAAAAAAAAAAAAAACACTTAAAAAAAAAAATCTCAGTGACCCCAAAATTAGGAACAGTAGTGTATTAACACTCAAGAGGTGCAAAACAAAACTTCCTTTCCAAATCATTCACTTACTTGGCATTAATGCTAAGCGCATTCGGTTCTGTGCAAACATCTGTTGATCGTACCAGCTGAACTTGAACATAAGGGCTATGTTTTACCTCAGATCAGCAGATAACAATATTCCCTTCTGACACTCAAATATAGTACAGCCAGGTGCAGCTAAGCTTACGCCAACTATTTGAGCTCTGTGCCAATAGTAGGTTGTAGAAAGACTCCACACACTTTAACTCTAGACGTGGAATAGGATGTGCATATTAATTATAGAGAAGTGAAACCAGAGCTATTACTCTTAAAATGGTTTGAGAGCGAGTTGAGAAAATGTTACACAAACTGGAAAAATGGGGTGAAAAAAAAAAACAATTTTACATAAATTGAATAGCAAAAACCTGTTAATGGGTCAATGACAAACCGAAATGTCCATGATAAAGAAAAGAGAAAATCTTGTAAGTTTTAGTTTAAAACATGTGCCAAGTTCTTATAAATATGCACTACCACTCAAAAGCTTGGGTTCTATAATATTTTTAATGTTGTTTTTGAACGATATTAATAGTTTTATTCCGCAAGAATGCATTACATTTATTACAAAAGGTAAAAAGAAAGCTAGTTACAAAAGCTCTCCATTTCAAATAAATGCTGTTCTTTTCCACAAAAAAATATTAATCAGCACAACTATTTACAGCACTGATAATAGTAAATGTTACTTGAGCACCAAATCAGCATATTAAGATGATTTCTGAAGGATCATGTGGCACTGAAGACTGGAGTAATAATGACTGCTGTACATTCAGCTTTGCCATCACAGGAATAGATGTTCATCTAAGAATGGTTTCTTCAAAAATTCATTGCATTTTTTATTTATTTTTGAATAAGGTAATACATTCAGACTGAATTCAATTTACATTCAAACTAAGAGTGTCATGTCATTGACCCACTAAAATAATTAAGAAAAGAAAAGAAAAAAACCCCGAAAATTTTACATAAATTAATCGTTATAATCTTTCAGTTTAATACAAGAATAGTTATTGGGAGTCACAAAGAAAAATGAAATAATCATTACTGGTAGTGCTCCATCTACTGGATGAGCTTAATATTATTTATCAATTATATAATCTCCCACTTGCAATATCATATGATGATAAAATGATTCAGAAAAGATGACTGCAATTTTGTTTGTGATCTAAAGGTTCAGTGCTTCTATACAAATGCAAATGAGAATTTTAGTACCCAGGCTGAAGCTGTAGTGAGACTGCATTTTGTGGTGAGTAGCTACAAGGTGCTTGGCAGAAACTCCACTTTTTCTTCTGTTAACTGAAATTAATTGCTTCATGACTTGCTCATGAATGAGATCACCTGCCCCATTCACTGCGCAATGCGTTTCCCTCGCTACAGCTAGAGAAATATACGTCATTTCCAAAGGCAGGAATCTAACCTATTTTACGCCTGTCTAGAGCACAATGAGAATGAAATCAATGAATGATTTCACGCTCAAGTGATGAATTTGGTTTACAGTGACTTTTGGAAGTGTCCTCTGTGTGTGTTCACCAAGTTTATGGATGGAGAGCATGCATACCGTGCAAAGGTCCTTGTACGGCATCTTCTGGAACTTGGTGTCGGCATTGCCGGCGCACAGCTCTACGTATCCCAGCACCACCTGGAAGACAGTGTTGTGGATGGCCTGGGTGAAGTGCATGTGCAGCTGATCCATGGCCGTCTGGGGACAAAGAAGAAAAACATATAAATTACATTTTAAAATATATTAAAGGGGTCGTTGGATGCCCATTTCCCACAAGTTGATATGATTCTTAGGGTCTTGGTTAAAATTTCTCAATGGTAGAGTAAAAAACACCTTTTTTTTACCCTGTCAAAAACAGCTCTTTTCAAAAGCAAGCCGTTTTGTAGCATTTTCCTTTAAATGTTAATGAGCTTTGCTGACCGCGCCCCTCTCTTCCTAGCTGCTCTCAGAGACTGTTTACTTTAGCTGCATTCATCGTGAAACTTGCTAATTAGCACATTATTAGGAAAGGCGATTTGCAGGGCCTGTCTGTGTGACATCACACAGACAGGCATCTGAGATCGGCTTGATTTGAGAAAGGGGTAAAAATTTTAGTAGATTAAAAAAACAACACTAGGTTAATTTTTATCATTATAGGGTGGTTGTTTACACACACTGCCAACACATTTCAGTTCAAACAACTTGTAAATGTGCATGTAGCATCCAATGACCCCTTTAAAATAGAACAGTTATTTTAAAATGTAAAATTTCACTATATTGCTGTTTTACTATATTTTTGATCAAATAAATGCAACTTTGGTCAACATAAATAAAATAAAAAATCTTACTCCAAACTTTTGAATGGTAGTTTGTATAAATATACCGATACTGGACAAAATATTGTTATATTTGTGCTTAAAACAAGGGACGAAAAAACAACTATAGAGTATGTAAAAGAATAATAAAAGACATTCTCTGAAATCAAGTATTACATGTGTACTTTGTTCTATGGATATTCAGATATTTTTACTGGAAGCTAGAAGAAAATTACAAGATAATGTATTTTCCCTGCCAAAGGAGATCTGTTTGAAGGTAAAACTTCTGGGTAACAGTGGGCCTGACTCACACTCTCACAGGAGATGAATCATTACGAACTACATACTGACCATACTGAACTACAACTTAATTATGCTTCTTCCCTCTCGCTTTCACTGCTCTCCTTCTTCCTTCAGCCATGAGCGCATCCCTCCCTCAGCTTTGGCTGAATTCAGTCAGTCAAAATGGCTTTCAGGATATTTGCCTTCTACTGCAGGTCAATGCGTTCAAAAGCAGAAATATTCAAAAATATTCAAACGCATTTAAATGAAAATTATGGAGCTGATGAAGTCATCAACTTCTGCACTTGTTCTGTGAGGGAAAATATTTTTTTTAAATAAACCTGAAAACATATCTAAAAAAATGTGACGGAAATATTAATTGTGCTGAGAAAAACTAGCAATTAGATCCATTAGATAGATTTAAAAACAAGAAAAACAGAAAAGATGAAAAGATGGAGAATTAGATGTGCAGTCATTAGGATAATTGCGGAGTTCATGGAATAGAGCCTGAAAGAACAGCACCTCTTTATAGGCACAAACAACAGTTTTAATGAATGACGTACAAACTGAAACAAGGTTTGTGTTTGATTTGTTTTAAACTTTACAAGCTATAAGGTCAGTAAATATCTAGCTAAAACATGGTGGAACGTCTTGGTCAGGTCCGTCAGTGACGTCTCTTTAGAGTTGTGAAAAACAGCCATAGAGTGAGCTACTGCAGAAAAAAGTGCATACCCCAAGTTATATAAAGCAGGGGAAAAGTTGGAAAGATTTAGCATATAGGGCAGCAACTAATGCTAGTGTTTCAGTTTAATAATAATTTTTGCTAAGATTTTAAAAAAAGATTTTTGAAAAAAAAAAAAAAGATGAGAAAAAAGTTTTCAATTGCCAGTCAAATGGTGTAACAGAAACCTAAAATAACAAATATAAATTGTATGAATGCATAATTTAATGCTATACAGAGGTCTATAAACATTGTAATATAATTAGGATTAGGCCATGATCCTGGATTCTTGCTGAACCAAAATCAGAGCGTAACAATTGCTGCATCTCGCGGTGTTCAACTCACAGCGAAGGGAAAATGTTCTATGGTGCGGAACATAGCCGCGGAACGGCTAAATGGTGCTGAATATTGGGATCATAACACCTAGTCCTATCATGCAAACTGCAGGCAGCTTTTTAAATCAGAAAATGTAAAATGACTAAATTATAAATATTAGTTAAAAAGAAAGCACAAACTGTGTTAACCATTACAAGTGTTAAAGGGGTCATGAACTGCCTTTTTTATCATTTTGTTCTGTTCTCTGATGTCTACTTATAATGTTATAAAAAAAAATGTAATCTTCGTTAAAAATAAACTTCAACTCTTTCCTAATGTTGGGATCAGAAGGGAGGCAATGCAAAAACTGTGTTTTTCCACAGCTTGGCACTGCAAAACATTTTGTTGCCATCTTTATTGTTTGGTTTCTGTGTAGACCTGCGTTTGCCTCTTGTTATTTATCTACATGCGCGAATCGGTGGGCGCCAATTTATGTATATGGACTAAACAGGCAGTGATGTAGAAGTGGGTGTTGATCTTCTTCTGCGGAGGCGGTGTTTAGCCACACTATTACGTCATAAAGTGACACATTCCCCAACCTGCCGTTTTGGCAGATTGGCTTCAATATAACCTGTTTTTAGACTAACGAGAATGTTTGGAGTTCTGAAACTTACAGGATGTTTTTATAGTACAATGATCTCTTATATGTCAAAAGATCAAGGGAATTTTTTTTATTTCTCAGCTCATGACCCCTTTAACTTTTACAAGATATAACGTTCTACAGGAACACACATTCTGAACAAATTAAAGGGTTAGTTCACCCAAAAATGAAAATTAGCCCATAAATTACTCACCCCAGAGCCATCCTAGGTGTATATGACTTTCTTCTTTCAGACGAATCCAGTCAGAGTTTTCAAGACAGACTCATTTTCATTTTATACATATACATATACATATACATATACATATACATATATATTCACACACAAACTGTATATTATCTGACACGCTACATGTTTCAGAGTGAAGCGCAGCACTGTGTTCTTTTACATGCAAGCAGCTCATGATCCGATGTCTTCAGTATCTCGGAGCAGCCTGTTTCACAGTAAACACTGCTACAATTAATATTATTGGTAATATTATTAGTAGTAAATACAATTTTTTTACTTTACAGTACAATATTATTATTGTTATAGTAATATTTTTATTTATTAGAAATAGGGCTGGGCAAAAATCGAATGTGATTTTCATGTGAATCTCGTCAGTAAAGCCGCTTCTGGTGATTAGTAGTAAATCTCCAGCACGTGCGT